TATACCAACCCCCCTCCATCACACCATACTTTGCCCCATTGATTTCTCTTCAAAAGCTCTCCCTCTCCACTCCAAATCGCCACGACCACTTGCCCAATAAAGCCTTATTAAACAAAACAAGACTCCTCACTCCAAGCCCCCCCCCAATCCTCATAGGTAAACAAACAGTACCCCAATTAACCAAATGCATTTTCCTCTCCTCCCCTAACCCTGCCCACAAGAATTCTCTTTGAAATCTCTCTAATCTATTTGTTACTGCAACCGGAATAGGAAACAATGACAAAAAGTAAGTGGGGAGATTTGAGAGAGTGAATTTAATGAGAGTAAGTCGGCCTCCCTTACAAAGGTACATACGCTTCCACCCTGCTAACCTCCTCTCCATTCTTTCCATAATAACATTCCAAATATATGTACTTTTAAACCATGCCCCTAGCGGGAGCCCTAAATATGACATGGGCAATTGTGCAATCCTACATCCCAATATACCAACCAACTCCACGTTAGTGACCTCCCCTACTAGAATAACCTCAGATTTTCCCAAATTGATTTTTAATCCAGACACCGCTTCAAAACATAGGAGCAAACGACGTAAGTTCCCGAATTGTTCATCATCCGCATCGCATAAGATCAACGTGTCATCTGCAAATAGCAAATGAGACACCTGCAATTGGCCAACCATAAAGCCCCTTACCAAACCCTCTCCCACAGCTCTTTCAAACATCCTACTGAAAGCCTCCATCACAATAACAAATAGCAATGGGGATAATGGATCTCCTTGCCGCAAACCTCTACTACTCCGAAAATAACCCTCCGCCATTCCGTTGACCATAACTGAGAACGAAACAGTAGAAATACAAAACTGAATCCATTTACACCACTTATCCCCGAAGCCGCACCTCCTGAGCATATACAAAAAGAACCCCCAGTTCACATGATCATATGCCTTTTGAATATCGAGCTTACATAGCATCCCGAGAATTTCCAAACGCAATCTTGAATCAATGCATTCATTCGCTATAAGCACAGAGTCCAAAATCTGGCGACCTTTTACGAAAGCATTCTGAAACTTGAACACTACTTTTCCGAGCACCTCCTTTAATCTATTCGCCAGGACTTTCGCAATAATCTTATACATCCCACAGACAAGGCTAATAGGGCGAAAGTCCTTAATGTCGGTTGCCCCTGGTTTCTTAAGGATAAGCACAACAAATGTAGCATTAGAACTTTTTTGGAACCTGCCACGTTCAAAAAAATATGTAAACAC